TAGCATATGCTTGTATTGGACGAAGGCGACCTCACATTCGTTGGACCAAGCAAATTTTTGGGATTTCTTTAATAATTCAATGAAAGGCCGAGACCTCTCAGCCATTATTGGCAAGAATCTAGCGAGGGCTGCAATCCGCCCGGCCAGTCGTTGAACCTCTTTGACATTCCGAGGGCTGGCCATTTCGATGATGGCTTTACACTTATCAGGGTTTGCCTCAATCCCCCTTTCGGATAACATGAAACCCAAGAATTTATCATTGGCTACACCAAATGTGCATTTTTCAGGATTGAACCTCATACCATGCTTCCTGGCTTCGCCGAATACCTCCTCCAAATGGTCGAGATATTGCTTCAATGCGAGGGATTTAACCACCATGTCATCGACATACACCTCCATGCATTTACCCACTTGTTTCTCAAAAATTTTATTCATGAGTCTCTGGTATATCGCCCATGCATTCTTTAAACCGAATGGCATTACACGGTAGCAAAAATTTGTTGAATTTGTGATGAATGTCGTTTTCTCCTCATCCGGGGGATACATACGTATTTGATTGTATCCAGAATAAGCATCCAAAAAGCTTAGTACCCTGTGACCCGTTGCGCCATCAACCAGGGTATCAATGTTTGGTAGGGGGTATGCGTCCTTTGGGCATGCTTTGTTGTGGTCCGTGAAGTCTGTGCACATTCGCCATTTACCATTGGATTTTTTAACCATGACCACGTTGGCTAACCATGTTGAATACCTGACTTCTCAGATAAAGTGGGCCTGTAGCAGCTTACCCGTTTCTTCTTCTACTGCCTTTACTCTATTACTGCCAATCTTCCTTTTCTTCTGAGCTATCGGTTTGGCCCCCTTATAAACCGATAAGTGGTGACATAGAAATGCCGGATCGATGCCAGGCATGTCCGAAGCTGACCAAGTAAACAAATCAGCGTTATTCAGCAATATTTCCTGAAAAACCTGCTTTTCTTGTACATTCAACCCGACCCCCAAATACCTTACTTGTTCCGGTTTTGATCCAAGTTGGAAAGGCTGCTTATTTTCATTGGGCTCAACCCGACACCCCTCATCTGTTCTAGGATCCAGTTCCACATCCAATTCCTCTCCCAGCCGAGGGGATACAATGTTGACATCTCGGCTGCCCCCATGGAAAGGCTTAAGACGTAGACTTGCAAAATAACATTCTTTAGCTATCTTCTGATCAGCATGAACTGTAACGATTTGGCCTCTTTCAGATGGAAACTTCATGGCCAAGTGTGGAGTGGATACTATAGCCTTCAACATGTTTAGGGATAGTCTGCCGAGTAGTATATCATAGGAGGTATTCGCATGCACCACAAGATAAGTGACTTTTACTCACTTTCCCTCATGCTCTGACCCGAACGAGGTATACAGGTCAATGCAGCCCCGAGTCTCTACTCTTTCTCCAGAGAAACCAACCAACGGTTCATGATATTCTTTGAGCTCTTCTTCTGGGATGCCTAATTACTTAAACGTATTCCAGTACAGGATGTCAGCCGAGCTCCCCTGGTCAATTAGTGTTTTCTGGACGGTGCAATTAAGAATATCTACACTAATGACCATGGGATCGTCCTGCACTAGATCGACTCCTTGAAAGTCATCGTCAATGAATGTAATGGGGGGTCCAGATTCTGCTTCCCAATGAAACATTATTGACAGAACGGACCTGCCTGAGATGCCTTTTCCTGGCCGAATGAGCGGGTCCTCCACCTGCAAACCCTCCAGCTATGGTATTAATCACCCTTTTAGGATACTTCTCACGTTCATCGTATCTTCTAGCTGGGAGTTCCCTGGACCTACTCCTCTGTCATTCAAATCTTTTGTCATCGGATCTGCTCGGCGATTCAGGGTATTGATCTCTTCCTCTCTTAATTTGACCGATGGGATTTGTCTGTACAAAATCTTTTAAATGTCCTTCCTTGATTAATTCTTCAATCTTATCTTTCAGCGATGTACACTCCTCAGTGGTGTGACCCCTATTCTGATGATATCGGCGAGACTTGCTTTTATCTGCCCGAGGAGGGGTGTTGGCACGTCTAGGCATTCTCAATATTTCTGTAACCAATGTCTGATCAAGTACTCTGGACCTACTAGTGTTGAGCGTAGTGTAGGAAGGGTACTTAGGTCCTTGGGGCGGCCTTTCAAGTTCATTTCTTCTCTCATTTCCCTGCCTAGCCTTGAAAACTTCTCTCTTGTCTGTATTTTTTGAATTGGACCCTTGGTCCATCCGTACCTGGTTTTGGTACTCGGACAATTCTTCCATCTGCATATACTTTGCAGCCCGGCTTCTTAACTCGTCTAGGTCGACAGGTGATTTTTTACATATCCTATTAACGAAAGGTCTTGGCTTTAAGGCCGTTGTGAGGTGGTGCATGGCCACTGCTGGCACTAAGTTATGGATCGAAAGGGTCACTTTGCCAAAGCGTTCCATGAACACTATAAGTGACTCTCCCTTTTCTTGGCGAATGTTGACCAGGGCCAAGAATGTTAAGGGATGAGGTCAGCTTGTGGCGAACTGCAAGTTGAACCGTCTTGCGAGTGTTGCAAAAGAGTCGATGGATGAAGGGGGGAGTCGGGTGAACCAACTGAGTGCAGGTCCTCGGAGTGAGGTGGAAAAAATCCTACACCATAAAGAATCGTTCTCGGTGTAAAGACCGACTTGGGTTGTAAAGACATCCAAATGTTCTTTAGGGTCAGATGTGCCATCATATTTATCTATTGTTAAGCCTCTCCAATTATCAAGCAGCTTAGCCTCCAGTATATGGTGAACAAATGGGCTTCAGCTTACGAGATCGTCTCGATCATTTTTAGCTTCAGATTGATAAACCTGTTTTGATTTCTCTTGCAGCGCCGAGGATTCCCCTTGATCCTGGATGATAGGTGTATTTTGGGAAGGGATATGTGTTCTAATCTCCCCTCTCAAGCTAGCATTTTCCCTTCTCAGAGCCGAGAGCTCTAGTGCATCCTTATCTCTCTCCCTTTTCATCTCTGCCATTTCTGCTTTGAGCTGTCTTAGTACAGCTAAAAGGCTCTCATCGATCCCTCCTTGCATCAATACTTCAGGTGTCAGTTCATCTGGTGTAACATTCTCCAACTGTTGCCGAGAGGTTCCTCCCTGTTAAACATGTCCTTCCTGCTAGCTTCTCGTTAGTACCATGTTTAATTCTGAAAAATAAGGTTAATCGTGCCCCACGGTGGGCGCCAAAATGTTCTTGTTAAGGTAACACGGGTCTTCAAGTCTCTACTTTGACATCTGACGTTTTTCTAACCGTTGTTGACGTGGGAGAGTACCTGCAAAAGACACTTTGATGCTGAAGTCAAGATTCGATTCTAAGCAATAAATGCTATTTAATAATGAAAAGTCAATCATTTACCTGTACTTTTACCTTCCTTATAAAGGCACTGTAATAGGTCAATGGACCTGTCGAGCCAGTTTTCATTTTAGCCCTTTATTTAAAGTAAATAATATCTTAATTATTACCTTTAATTGGGTTAATTATCTTTTAATCCTGACAATGAGTATCCAGCCTATTATGCTGAATAGATACTCGATTTCTTTTTCTTATAAATAGGACCAAGTTGATCTTTATCCACTACAATTCATTTAAAGTAAACGTAAAAAAGTTTAAAATGGTAATGAAAATTACTGTTTGTTGAGATATCTATAAATTATTATAATTTTTTATTATTTTAAAAATTAAAGAATATTAACGTTTTTTTTAACTAAACTAATACCTCGTAGATTTTACCGGAGCTGTAAAGAGATCATCGTATAAAATAATACTTACATGTAAAAACTAATATTAACACAGATACACACACTATTGGCTTTTTCCATTTCACAGCAGCAACCTGAAGGTGCAATACTACCCAAAATACAAATTCAGCAAACAAGTGATGGCTTCTATCTTCAGTTTTTCTTGTCTATTTCTGCAACTATTTCTCTAATATTATATCATTTCATTTTAATATTTACGTTTATATGAAAATACAAAAAAAAATGTATATACATCTTTTTAATCGGTATCTTTAAGGAAACAAAAAAATATAATTTTTTTATATTAAAAATCATGTTTTCTTTTAAAGAAAACTTTATTTTTAATAATTATATATATATATATATATATATATATATATATATAATTTGTTGTATCCTTAAAATTTACATACGCGAGTATATTGCATGAATAATACTGAATACATTAAACCATGATGCGAGGCTTTTTAAGAAGTCTACACACTAACTTCTTTCGCAAAAGACGGGAAACATACACGTTTTTCTTTAGTCACAGAAGCAACATGATAGCTAGTTAAATGCAGAAAAACCGGTTTCAATCTATCACAAGTTTGCACTTGGTGCGCCATTTTCTAGTCCTCAAACCATGCAATTGAAAGTCTTGGAATTTGATATTTAAACACTAGACATTCACAAATCATGGAGCAGCTAAAAATGGCCACATCAAGATTGATAACATACTTGGGAATTTTACTCATTCTAAGTGTGGCATTTTCCTCTGAAGCTAGCAGGCTCCCTCCACCTTCAGGCACAGACCCTGATTCAGGTAAGCATGGAGATGGCACTGGAAATCCAGGAAGTGAAAAGGGTCCTCTACTTTGTACACCTCTCAATTGTGCAAGCCCCAGTGGATTCTGTGGTGTGACATACATCAACTTGGAACCTGAACCCGCCGGCCACCAAAACAAACAACACACTATGGCTATGGCTATGCCCCCCATTTGATTACTAAATTGATCCAAGATATTAAATTCTTAGCATGATAACTAAGTGAAGTCTATGAAACTGAAATGTGTATGGATTTGACCATCTGTAATAACGGCTTGTACTTCAATATACTACCTATAATGAACATCAATATATATATATATATTGAAAAATTATGGAAAGGAAAAGAGGGAGCATAATTAAAGATGATGTATAGCAGTATTGCCTGCATCTTACATGACTGATTCTGCTGAAAGAGTTACTAGAAGTAACATACATTAATTCTACCACGCAACTCTAAAGTTTTTGCAGTGTCTATTACTTGGGGGTAAAATGGAGAAATGCATCTATCCTACAAACACAATTTCTTGAATATATTTAGTTATTATTACACCAAGTTTGAATTTATTCATACTTTTTGAACAGTGATCAACTATTCTCCCTTGACTTCAGCAGCACCAGCCCAATTATCTGCACTTCCAGTGCGAGGAATGCTGGGAATCTTTGTATACAAGTCCACATGAAAATACACACTCAAGATGTTTCCACTGTCATCTTCATGCACAACACCTCGAACCTTATGCAGTGGATGATCAAAGCTTGTCAACCCACTTCCATTGATGAAAATGCAGCCTGCATTCCAATTGAAGAATTGAATGAAAATTACAATGCATCTCTAATGATTTAGAGAGTGAATAATTAGTAAAGTTGAACTAACCCGGAGGAAAAGGTGCACAAGCTTTTCCACAACCCTCGCTAATGATTTTAGGGTCATCAGAACAGACTAAGGATTCATCTCTTGCCAATCCCCATTGAAATTCCAAACTTCCTTCACGGTCCTAACATTGGCAGCAACGATGTTAAAACCAACACTAACCAAAAAAATCAAGTAGAAGAGGCTTTTCTGACACAAACCTCCAAGCAAGCAGGTTCATTAAGACAAGAATACAACCTTGGCTTAGAGATTAAAACAAAGTCAAAAGGTAACAATTTGTCATGAGAAGTTAGAACTCACCCTGGCTACAAAAAGGGTGTTTGTTCTTGCATCAAAGATGATGAATGCAAATTTTCCATCAAGATGTTTAACAACTTGGTCAGGTGGGTAAGGAGCTCGATCTCTCAAGGTCTTATAGGCTTCCACCACAATCATGGCTTCTGTTGCTTGTCTTGGGAGGCCATAATGATGTCTAAGGTCAGCAATGTTTGCTAGAGTTCCCACAAAAATGCAGAAGATATCATCCAAAACAACAATGGACCTGAAATATTCACAGCAAAGAGGAATTAGCCAACTCAGAAAAAGAGAAATTGTTGCAATGACACGGTTTTCTATAGATTGAAACAAAACTACACATCCAGTTGATTCCTGAGTCAAGGGTAGAGACAGATTTAAAATATAAATACAGGTATCTTGTTCTCTGATTTACCGTCATACATAGTAGCTATGTTTTAATTGGATGCCATGGTTTCCAGTGTAATTTTGGTTGAAACGAATGATTAGAGTTCAAATCTAAGAGCATTGAACTTAGAGTACTATTAGATACATTTTTCTTATAGAAAGTCATTAATTTCATAGCCAGTGCATATACGTGAGAAATAAAAATAGAAAAATAAATTATATACACTTAGGATCTACCTGGGGTGTATAGGACTTTCGTCTTGATGGGACAGAGCCATAAAATTCCCATGTGGAAGGTTATAAACTGTAGAATCTGGCAACAAAGATTGAAACTTGTCAACAATTTCTTTTGGGGTCTTTGAATCATTGGATCCCATTGCCGGAAGCCTCAGCTCCTCCGGTGGATTTCCAATGGCTTTTGCGAACACCGCCAACATTTTTGCTGGTTAATTTAGCAAGTTCAAGGGTTCTTCACATTATGTTATCCTCAAATATGGTTTAATTATAGACTTACATAGGACAGTGGGGCTTATCATTCAACTTTTTTTGGTATGAAACCATTAAAAAATTCATAAGCTTACAAATAGTGGCATTGGAAAACATGTATGTGGCAAGCTCACAGGACGTTTCAGTTTACGTGGTGATACGTGTAATAATACATAACCAAGATATACGTTACATGCAGAGATAGTGCCAAAAGTCATTGATCTGTCTACAGTTTACTCCAGTCTTGAAGACTAGTCCAATTAATGTCTGAACAATTATTTTAATTGTATTATTAAACATTTACTAAATAATTACTTAAATTAGTATTCTTTTTTCATTTTAATTATTTTCAACTATATAGAATATGATCATATGATAAAAATTTTCTCGAATCCCAAAATCTCTATTGTGCTTATCCGGAAGCATGGACCAGTCCATTCCAATTACGTCTTTCCATGAGCAACTTTGGTCTATTTATTTCATGTACAGAATTCGCATAACAATATTTGTGACTGATAATAGCACCATTCTAACCACGCTTATCCATCAGCAGCTTTTGGACTATTTCGAAAAGAGTATTTATGTGGCTGATAGAATGGCCTACGTGTTTCTTCTCCTGACAAAACTGGGACCCATATTTGTAGTTATATATCACATGATAAGGAGTTGGGTACCTACAATTTAGACAGTGACAAATGAAGCTCTAGAAGAAAAACATTGATGGGTTTTAAAAGAAGTCAAATTATACACACAACATCATATGAAAATGGTAGTTTACATTAAATTGCTAAAATCTGTATTGGATAAACGTGATTCAACGTCATTAACGGATATTCTAGAGTCTAGCGGTGAATCATGGCATAGAAAAACCAAATTCAATTCCAGAAGCATCGAGGAACTACCACTTATTAGTCAAGGTGTTTATTGATGAACTAGTATACCTTTTCCGAGTTATAGGCAATGCAAGCATAACACAGTATATCAAGCAAAACAACAATCCCATGCCATGTAATACGAAAAAATGGAACTGGCCATCGAAAGAAATTTAAAGAAGTCTCCAATGAAAAATGTTAAATCGTCTTGGTATTTTAGTCTACAACTCTTCTTATTTACAAAAAAAAAAAAAAGTGACGTGTCTTTTAAATTCATTGATTAGTCATAAGTCACTTTTATATAAGTAGAAGAATATATAGAATGACATTATAAAAGGATTTAGCATTCTCAACTTTGTATAGTTTGAAGGGAATGCACTTTGATATGGTAAATTGTAGTCACAGGTGAGTCATTAATTCCTTAAGGACACGTTAAAAGACTACAATCATTTAAAGAAAAAAAAACAAGAGTGAGACCAAGAGGAAAGATAATGTGGAGTGTGGGAGACAACTCACGTGTCACAACAATTATTTTGAAGTAATCATGTTAAATTCCAAGATGATGATGCCATGATACATGAAAACAGAAATTCATGAATCCCCAGCAACGTTTAGGATTAGAGACAGATGTTAAAAAAATAAAAATAAACATTCAACGTTTAGTACACTGTAAACTTAAAATACTTTACTTTTATTTAATACATTTCACTGTCTGAATGCAGCAACGCATGACAAAATATGCTCCTTGGCATTTGTCTTTTACTTTTGCCTATTTCTTCTTTGTTTATAAAAGTCATCATTGCTCATGAGGAAAGAGTGAGATTTCTTATCCTGATTTGATGATTAAGCACATACTTTCCCTCCTTTTGGTGGTGCTATTATTTTTAAGGGATAACATTGAAAAAAGTATTTCTCATTGTAATTATTGTACCAGTAAAAACAACTACTCGCTTTCTTTTTTCCTGATCCACAACTTCGCACTCAACTTCCAAATTTGATTACCAACTTAATAATTTTCACATAAAAACCCAAATTGGGTTTGCTTGAGCACCTAGACATAATTAGGCTAGAACTTCAATTATTCAAATTGAAGTATATCATATATATCACCCACTAAGAATGAATGATTGATGGTTGCAACAAGAAAATTATTTCTGAAACACGCACTGCATAAGTTCATACTTCCTAGCTAAACCGCATTCATCAATTTCTAAATGGCACACAATCAACCAGCAAATCTCCAATTGATTTTGTCCGATGATGCTTGTCTTTTGCTGCCCCGTGGCTACTAGTTTTTATTTCCTTGTTTTTTGTCTCCCTTGTACCAAGAGAAAATGGGTATTGCAAGATTAGAAATAGACGAAAGTTTCTCCTCTTTATTTATATTCACTTACAAATAAACTATACTAGCTTGATGATTCTTAGCTAGGAAACATGCATAGGCTTTTCATGCAATGGTATGTATGTGAAGACAAACTTTAGAACTTATAAAGTTGTCATCTACATATACATTAAAGAAAAGTATGCCATCATTTCATTGTCCAAACAGCAATAATATAAGCTACAACACTAGTCTAGAAAAGTATGCCATCATTTCATTGTCCAAACAGCAATAATATAAGCTACAACACTAGTCTATGTCTCCTCTATGAGAAGAAGATCTAGCCCAGTGGCTAATGCCAGCATCTTCTTCAATCTCTTATTTATGCCCCACCGAAACAAGCATCTTAAAGAAACCTGTCTAGAACATGAATAAGGACCATGATAAGCATTAGGAGCTCTTAGAAGACAAAATGAAATTGAGATTAGTTGGAAAGTTATTGGGATCACCAATATTTAACCAATTCATTTGGCTAGGATTAGAACACCACAGGGTGCAGGAGCATGCTTCCCATCCTTGAACACAAGGTTTCCTCTGACAAAAGTATCCAAAACTTTTCCCGATAGCGTGCTTCCCATATAAGCAGAGAGGTTCTAAATACCAAAAGGTCATAGTTTTGCATTGAGATTCATAAAACCAGTCAAATATATTTTCTTTGTAAGAAGCAAAATCATGTAATACTAACAGGATATATTGGTAAAGTGGGAAACACTCGATCTTTATGAAACAGTGAAAACTCTTTTTTTTTTCTTTTTGTTGATGGTTTCTCCCAAGAGAAAAAGGAATTAATAAATAAATAAAAATAGTCTAAAGTGAAAGGAACTTCTTTTCTACAAAAGTAGTGGGAGAACTAATTTAGTTCCTCTAGCATCAAACAATAAAACTACAGCAAGAAGAAGCCACCATAGAACAGTTTGAAATGGTTTTAAGATTTGGCTTATAATTAAGAACAAGGAAAGTCATAGACAGAATGAGCTAAATAACAAGATTATGAAAAGGTAAAATTAATCTATATGTCCCTACATTATTTGGGAATTTTAAATAGATTCCTATACTTTAAAAGTTTGTAATCAGGCCCCTGAACTTATAAATCATTTTTAATTGGGTCCCTGACTAGGGTTCCGTTAAATACATAGACCTAATTGAAAATTTTCAATTAGTTCAGAGACTAGGTTGCTGGTTAAATTATTAAATCCCTGAACCATTCAAAAATTTTTAATTAGGTCCATACATTTAATGGAACCTTAACAGAAATGTGGTCAAGGACCTAACTAAAAAATATTAAGTTCAAAGATCTGATGCAAACTTCTAAGCTATAGGGACCAATTTAAAAATCCCTAAATAGTTTAGGAATTTACAGATTACTTTAACTAAAAGAAAAATTGAAACGTACAGGATGTTTAAGGAAAACAGGATAATCATCATTCAGCTCAAACTCCACCTCTGGTTGCCAAACTACAATATCTGCATGGTTTCCAACTGTGATGGTCCCCTTTAGCATAAATGGATAATTAGTCAGATTTGAACTGAAATTATTTTCTAAGAAGCGTATATGTATGACTTCAGAATATCATTAGTAAAAATTCAAGTGCCTTATCATGTGTGCATTTCCTGGAAAAAGAAAAAAAAAACGCTAACAAATCATGGAGATAATAGTTTTTTATTTTAATTTAAAGTGCAATCTTTCAGCAAACGATAATATTTTCTCATAAGATATCAAAAGGACCATTTACTATCTTAGAGGAGCTTAAATCTTTGTAGTAACAATGAGGTAAAGCATAAGGTTCATTTCTTTTAGACGATCTGGTGCCAATGAGGGCTAGCTATATTAAGATTGAATAGTATGAGTTAAAGGCCTTGAGTTCAATCCATGCTCTTCTATTTATATTTTTTAGTTACTTGCTTCAAAGGAATAATGGTAACATTTCTCCAAGTAGAAATGAAAATTATAAAATTAGAATGCAATTTATATAAGTTAAACATATTGCAATAATTATTTCATTAAATATATACAGAATCAAGAGAATAAAAAGTTATTACTAATTATACTATACTAAAATGTCAAAAGGCAAAGAAAGAAACTAAAATTATGTCACCTTTGATTCTAAACCCACAAATTCTGCAGGTTTCTTGCTCCACAATAATGATAATTGTTCCAGAGTTAGTCCATATTTCTTCCCATATGACCACGTCACTGGAAGATCAAACTACAAGTCTCCCAATAGGACATGTAAGTCTTTAGATCAATAATAGCATTTATAAATGCAACATAAAAAAAATTCAATTAAAAGCCTGAAAAAAGAAAACTAACACATGTTGTGTGTTCTTAAATGGTTTCATAATTTTACCTTTCGGTGTCCAGTTCTTCACTTACTTTGGGCATGTAACAATATTGGTTCGGTCTTTTACTGAGTTTAGGTATTGATTGCAAACTGTCGAATTTTTTATTATTGCAGCTTTAAGAGTGCTCAATAGGTGTTTGTTTAGAGGCTAACATGAGCTTTGTTTCACCATCACTTGGTTCTGCTGGTAAGTTCTTCTCTGAACTGTGAAGTCAGCACTTCTAGATCATGCCTGCGACTTCGGAGGTGTAATTTAATCCAATGAGGCATTCTTGCTGCAGTATCTAGAATTTTCTTGGGTGGATGACTGCGGTTAACTGTTAACTACAATGAAGGAAAATTGATTCCCTGTTTAGTTTTCTCTGTTATCACTCTCTATTTACTTAATAGTACCATTTCAGGTGGTAGATCTGCTAGAAGAGCATTTGAGTTTGGAAGAACCTATGTTGTTAGACCTAAAGGTAAACATCAAGCAACTATAGTTTGGTTGCATGGCCTCGGGGATAATGGCTCCAGGTGATATGACATTTCCTGTTTCTCTTTCCAAAGTTATATTGCTGCATTTATTCATAGTTGGAGAATATGAATTTTTTTTTTTTAATTAATTATTTTGTCAGAAAGAAACAAAGATGAGTCAATTTTGTCTGCTTTTCATCTTAAGTAACTTGGGAATTAAAAATAAAGTCTTGTCTTTGGAAGACAGAGTTTTAAAGTTGTTTAGTGGAAGCCCAAGAATGTTTTATATTACTAAAGCAAACACTATTAACTTCAAAGGGGGACTTTCAAATTGATTAAAGGAAGTAAGATCACGTTCTGACCAGAAAAATCATGGACCAAAATGTTAAAGCTTAATTAAGTATTTGATCATTATAAAAGTTGCAAAATTTAAACTTAGTCCCTAATCCCTATAAAATATTTTGTTAGGATATAGTTCCTATTTTTTTCACAAACTATTATTTTAGTCCCTTTAGATAATGTGGTCCATTGAGATACTACCAAGTGTCCGTTTTTAGTTAAATCACATAAGCTAAAGAGATTACAAACAATAATTTGTGAAAAAGTAAAAACTATATCCTAACAAAATACTTTATAGGAACTAAGTCTAAATTGTACAACTTTTGTATGGACTAAATACTTAATTAAGCTAAATGTTAATAGAGTCAAGGATTTAAAGACCAAAGTCCAATATCAGAAAGTGTGTCAAGAAAGGTAAGCAAGAATGTGCAACGATTACACCCTATCAATATTTTATCTATTCATTCTCATGTTAAACCTATTGAGCTCTCATAGGCTTCTACAATAAGGAATGGCCTTATATTAAGGCATATGCATAGGTTTGATCCTTGGAATAAGCCCCACTCTTCCCTTCCCAATAAAATACAAAATCATTCCATTATATGATAGAAAATACTTAATTATGAATTGATTAACAAGAAAATAACAACCAAGCTCAAGCCTGAACATAAGATTTAAACCATGCACATGTGAAATACACATATTCATATACAAGTTCCTTCCATTGGGTTAATATACATACTTCAATGGCATAGAATTTGTTGTGTAATGTTCAAAAATTTAAAGATCATATATATAAGCTACAATAGACAGGCTGAATATGTACAGTTCATAGATAAGTAGGGAAAAAGAGAAAATTACAGCAGTTATACAATCTACTTCACTGCATGAAAATTCACAAACCTGCAAATTTGATATGCCTCCCCAAGCCCTCAAGAAGTCGCCCTCCTCAAGCAGCTTGAGTTCAGGCACAGTTGGTGAATGATCAGAAGTTAATAGGTCAATGTGTCCCCCCTGAAATGAAGAATTAAACAAGTAAAAATTATGAGATCATAAATGATTAAAGCAAGACAATGTACTTTGTATTATGGAGAGGAAGCATACTAATACAGCCTCCCATAATTTTTCTTTGTTGAATGCATCTCGAATGGGTGGGGAACACTTAAAACGAGTATCTCCAGTTGGTATCTTTTCAGCCGAGAAAGCTAAGTAATGGGGACAAGTCTCAACACTTATGCTGTCACCTCGACTTTTTGCTTCCTGTAGAATATAAATATATAACAATGGCACTCAAATCATGGATTCATGGGAGAAGAAAAGGAAGGGAAAAAGGTGTTTTAAATTTTCGTAATAGGTTTTGCTGAGTTCATGAAGAGAATAGAATCATGATTTATTATAAGAAATAAAACTGATATTTATGTTATTTGTAATTATCTCAAGCTTAAATGTTATGCAATTTATGTTTAATTGTACATCTTACACTAGAATTAATTTTAAGATGTGAATAGATACTAAAGAAACATAAAAACACCTAGTAATTTAGAATACTTTCAAAGATCAAAAAACACCGAAGTCTTATCTGAACAATGTTAATGACATCTTTCTTTGTATCATATCTCTCTCTATTCTCCCATCTCTTGGTTCTCCTTTCTTTCTTGTTCTGTTTGTCTCTCTTATAAACTGGTAAATTCCATATTTAATTTTAACTAGATAACTCAATGCAAACATTATTATCAAATAACTTTGTAAAATGCTGTCATGATTGTCGATCTACAACAGTGTTTCATGCGTACAGACATACTAATGATAAAAGGACCATACAATACCTTAATCAGATCTAAGGAAGCACTTGAATCGGACAAGTGGACAATGTGAACATGTGCTCCTTCCAATGGACCGCCAATTCTAGTGTCCTTTGTAACACCAACAAGTTCTTTAATGGCTGCCTGTTCCCTGAAAATGTTAAGAGCATTAAAAATATATGAATTTGTGCTCATCCAAGATTCCAAATGAAGTGCATTATAGAAAAACACACTGAATGGATATTTCGTATGTCGGTTTTTCTAACATGTGTCCTAGGGAGCAAAATAAAAATTCAATAAATAGAAAGATTTTATGGAAAATTGTAGCATTTAATGCTATTAATGCATTGAATCAAGTAATATCCTATGATTTCCAGTAAAAGCTTACAATATATAAGTTCTTACCAAATTGGGCCAAAGCCCTTGGCAAGCTAATTCAGCCACGAAAACTAGGGACAAATTTAAGCAATAGTCTAACTGATTTCATGGTTTGACATGATAGAAAGAACAATCATAAAAAACCATTTATCTGAATGAAGTTATGGCTTAATGGCATATATTTATTCAGAAAGAAAAACCTTAGATAATGTCTAACCATGAAGGTGGCCTGGTGTCCAGATAGGTCAAGTAAGAACGTGGATCACCAATATCATTAAGCTCCAAATGATTTTTAGAATCTAGTTGAATCTCAGAATGTACAACTAAAGGCCTTCTGTATCTAGCCAGCACAGACAATCCCTCCTGGCAAATACATATACAAAACAATTGAACAAAGCAAAAAGGAAAGATACTCCTTAGTGTAAAGTAAATAGCATTATCCTACAAGATCTTTTATTTGTCAAAAGCAAAGTGGGCAGACTACAGTATATCAAGCAAAGCAACAATCCTATGGCATGTTAATGTGAAATATGGAACTGGAAATGCAAATGAATATGAAAAAATGCAATGAAATGATTTTAAAAAATCCAGCTATAATTTAATTTAGTTTGGAAGGAAATACCTTGATATGATCAATAGTAGTCATCGGAAAGTCATTAATTCCAGAAGGACACATAAAAGACTACAAGCATAAAAAGATAAGGAAAAAGAAAAAAGTCAGACCAATAGGCAACAGATATTATCAAACAGATATATGATGGGTTGCAAAAACTGCAATGCAAGAAATGTTTGGCTGATATTATATATATCTTTATTAGAAGAGAGAGGTTACTGTGGAGAGAGAACTCATCTCCTGACATATAGTTTGAAGAAATCAAGTTTAATTCCAAGATGATAAGATGATAAATGAACACAAATTCAGGAAATCCCTAGCAAGATAGTGCCAAACCACTTCAAACCCTAGAAATTTCCTGTGTCCATAGATTCTCAGCGCTTAAGCAAAAAAAAATTCAAATAGATAAAATATCTTAGTCGATCACACCTAGTAGAATAAGGCTTGTGATTATTCCTAGATGCAGTATCTAATGTAAGAATTAACTTCTTTTGGAAAAAAAAAACAATTAAACCGTGAAGTTGACCCCACAGAATATGTCCTTGACCTCTAAGCAAAGTTGCAATAGTAAAGCAAAAGCTTTCAAATGGTTACCTTCACACCTAGCACACCAGCACTTAAGAGACCTTCAAGAATACTTTTATTAAGAGCATTTTCAGGGACTAGGCCTCCCCAAAATCCTGTAGAAGATTATACAAAAAAAGGATCTCAGAAACTCAAATAATTGTATGCCAAGGCAGAGTGTGTTCATCATACCAGCATCCACATAGATTTTATCCTCCGCAGCTTCAAGCTGCAAACAAGTGAAAACTTATGTCAGGAAAAGGAAAACTTATTCAACAGTTACCACAAGCAACCTAGCAAATTCAGAACCACCATGTATGTCAGAAGGAACTCCTTCTATCTCTGAGATGAAAAGATTCATCATAAGGTGATGAATATTGTTAGTAATTATTACCATATATAAACTTATTACTTTAAAAAAGAAAAAACAATACACGTACCGGATCAAATCACTCATACCTTAAGTTTCAGTGTTTCCTTAGACACAGTTGTAGGGTAATTGTTTAGAGGCATGTCAACCACTGTCGTTACACCACCTGTTGAAACAGTGTTGGAACATATCTATGTAATGTACATGAACCAAACTCAAAAGAGTTATTCAAATTAACAACAGTTGACACAGAAAGAACAACTACCATTAGGAAGAGAGTAAAAAATGATTAAAGAAATCCACTGAGTAACATCAGATGAGAATTGATAAGTCATAATAGTATCATATCGTCCTTGCAAAGAAAAGTTACTGTTTTCCTTGTTCTAAGCTAGAAATCTAAATGATCTTAAGAAGCATAGGAAAAAATATTAACATTTCTCCTGAAATATTCAATCAAGTTCTAAGGAATACTACTAGAGAAGAAAATGTGTAGATCAATAGAGGAAGAGCATCTGCATACCAGCAGCGGCAGCTCTGGTACCAGTATCAAATCCTTCCCATTCCGTTCTTCCAGGCTCATCAAGATGTACATGCCTGCCGAAGTAAGCAATTTAAACAATTAAAGGAGGGACAACACCCAGAAATCAAAGATATAAAATGAACCAGCTGGAATTCCACTGATTACAAGGATGGAATTGATGATCAACTCTTCTAGTCTATCATTCCTACTCATAATACAATTTGTTTTTCTTCTAAACATTAACAAATACAAGGAAGATATGAAACTGTTTTCTTCCGCTCTTTTTTATTTGAGTTTTAATCTGTCTTAGTTTTTTATTTTCCCAAGTTTCCTTTAGTTGGTTAAATGTAGGGTGTTCACGAAGTGCAAGTTAAGCAATCAAAATTAGTAGTATAAAATCAGAAAGTAGTAACTTATTCTGGCAGGAAGTAAATCCTCTTCAGTACCGATTTTTATAAATCTTCTTAGCGAGCCACTACTTTTATAATTCATTCTAATCATTCGAAATGAATTTTACTTACAACAGCTACTACCAAGATTAATGAGACAGATATCAATCACGAAAAACGTATTGCAACCACATTTCCCATATAATTTTAATATTTTTTTATATTACAACAGCAATAGCAAAACATTTTTCCATTAAGTGAGCTACATGGATTAAACAATGCCAATGTGTTCTGTCAAGAGCCAAGTCTTCAAATAGCCCATTTAGATGCATCTTAAGTCTTTTTAATAGTCTCTAAGTTGGAGTTTTTCTTGGTCTCCCACTCTCCCTCTAACTATAACTACTAGTATAGATCAACTCTTAACCAATGCTTCTATTGGTCTTCTTCATACATGACCAAACCATCTTGGATGCAATCTTACTATATTTTCATCATTAAGTGCTATTCCTACTATCTCTCCAATAAATTCTTCCATACCCAAAGTTATTATTACACTATTCAACATTTATCTATTTATTTAGAACATGCATCTACAGAACAGTGCCAGAAATAAACAATGAGAAGATGATTTTCAGATCTTACACATCAATCAAGCCAGGCATAACAACAGCATCTCCATAATCAATTACTTCTTCTTGCATAGACTTCCCCTGCTTACCATATCCTTCGATGATAGACACTATTTTCCCTTCCTTTATCTCCACTGTCAATGGTCCACACATAGAATCAATTAACACGTACACACAGTGATAGCCTGGTAAAAGATTTGCATGTACCATTGATACAACAAATGATCAAGAGAAAATATTGTCTTCACTATATTGTCTTTGAAAAATGTTAGCAACACACTGTTTCAAATACTTTCTCTATTATCAGACAAAATTTATTGAAAATCGTAAAAATTATGTGGGTCCCACCCTTAATTTAATAGTTCTCACTCATGCTTTATAATTTTTTTATAAATTTCAGCCAATAAATGAGAATGTGTTAGAAAGGGTGTGTTTTTAGCCTTCCTTATTGTCTTTTTTCATTTTTTGTTTCAGGCTAATATGTAGGGAATGGAAGTATTTATCTTGGATCTTTACCCACAACCTTATATTTTTTTTAAAGTCTACCAGGTATACAGTAATACAGTCAAACACTAAATCCCACAACCTTATCCTTACACGAAAAGCTTTACAAAAGATAAGATCCTCTCCCGTTGTTGCGGAAACTGCACTTCCAATTTCAGATTGGCTTAAGTGATATTGGTTTCCCTCGAATTTGGAGAAAAACATTGGAAAGTTTCAGATACTTCTCCTTTCCTCCACGAAACCAATATAGCTTAAGCGAGTTTAAAATTGGAGAGCTGCAGTTGCCGCTATAACGGGAGAGGATCCGGGTCTGCTTTACAAACAAAACAAAGAGAGAAAACTAAAGAATATAATGATCCAGAGTTAAAAAAATGAAACCTGAACCAGAAATGATCCCTTGTGGGGTCACAATGCGTTTGCTCGATATCCAGAAATGGCGATGAGGAAGAAGACTGCACTCATCCCTTGGTAACTGTGGCATCAAAAAGACATAACTCAACCCTCATTACACAACAACCAAAACCCACACCCTCTTCAATTTTCATACCTTTTCACCATGGTAACTGATAGATTATCATAACACAAACCTCAAACTAGTCAAAGTGACTAAAAAAGAGAGAGTTAAGTCAAAAGTTGTGTTAAAAGGTTAACGGTTTTTAAGGTTTGATGGTCTTGCAGACATAATCATGAATCAAAAAACATGAGAGAAAATCAAAGCGTGGATGACAGTGAATAGATTGTGAACCTTTATGAGAGGATATAATTGTGCCTTGTAAGAATCCTGCAAGTAGAAGAACAACACGAAGGAAACCAGAATTGTTAGCAAAGGTAATACCCTCCACAGAACTTCCATTTCTCACTTCACACTCAGTGTTGTGCTCTGTATCTCTTTGTTTTGATTACATATATCAGCTTAAGACATTTTTTTTATTTTATTTTTCTATTGGTCAGAGGACATTAAACTAGTAGGTTACATTATCATTTTGATGTAATTTAGGGTACGAACCACAAGATATCAACTTCAGATTGGTTAGTCTAAACAATGGATTGTCAGAGTTAAATCAATAATTGAATTAAAGATAATCAAATTGTATAGATTTGATTTGATTATTAATCAAATCAAATCAAAATATATTAACTTAATTAAGTTGATTTGATCTCTTAGGTTAATCAAACCGGTCCAAACTAAAGAACAAACCTGCCCCGTGAAGAATACTAAAAGAGAATATAAAACGACACACTATCTCACTTCGCGTTCACAAATGTCAGCAATAACACTCGGTGGCGCACGTGGACCACCTGCACGGGCTGTCATTTCGGTATCATTCTACACGAAAAATAAATTAATAAATATTTAAAAAAAAAAGTTATGACATGTATGCATGCACTGATGCGCACACACTGAGAATATGGGAAAATAAGTTAAATATGGAAAATAAAAATTGAAATTACAGAAATATAAAAGTTAATTGCAGAAATATGAGAAGTGAAAAACATCAAAGGCAATTTTTGGATAAACAAAACTTCATTGATGCGACATAAAAATTAATTGATGTGTAACAGGACTTTAAAAAGTTATTATTGGCCACCTTTTACTGGAAAAAGCCTCGTGAAGGAATTTATGTGTTAGTTCAAAAAAATTGTTACCAGCGACTTTTAGATTAAGAATCTCTATAAATTTCCACTGTGGAAGATAGACAGAGAGTTGCAATGTATATGTTGATATTGTTTTAAGATTTGTATTTTTTTTTAATTGTAATTTGTTTATTTATTTGTTTACATTAATATTGTTGTTATTGTTTTAAGAGTTGTAAGTTGTAATGTATGGGTAAAATTTTGTTGCACTAATATGAAACCACGTTGATAATTTGAAATAACTACGTTAATAATTATAAACAACCATTGTCTTCTAGAACAAATACAAATGTCCTAAGTTCAACAACATCAAATTATGACAATTATATTGATAATTAAAAATAATAATATATAATGAAATGACCATAATAACTAACTACTAAAAATTTAGTTATGGAGTATGAAAAATGTTTTTAGACGTAGTTTTAAATTCGATAAATTTTTTATCTTTATGTTCTTCTCATTTCACGCATATTTATTTTATTAAAGAAATAAACATATTTAAAATGACCTTTTTTATGGGACACTTTAAGAAAGATTAGAATAAAGTCTTAAACCTTTATATTGTTGTTATGAGCTTTCATTTTTTATCATTTTAAACTCTTTCTTATAAACTTTATATATTTCATTAATTATATAAACATTATTAACATAAGCATATTAATCAATATTTTAACTATAACAAGTATGAATTACATCACAAAACGAATATATATAAAATCACCACAGTCACATTACTTTTATCTAAAATAAACTTTATATTCGTGTTTGTTATATCTCTCCACATTTTTGTATTAGCTCATAACGAATATTAAATTCACGCTTGATTCTTTAATAACTTACAAAATGCATAATCATTTGTATAAGTATTTTTAAAAGCATAGAATATGCACATATTTGTTAACTTTAAAATACAAGAAAGTCATGAGTTCGTGAAAGTCACGAATTACCCATGCAAACGATCAATTTATACAAGTAAAGAGTCTTTAATCTTTGCAAAAAAAAAAAATTGGCCGCTTGATGCAATACATGTAGAATGCTCTTAAAGGTTCCTACTATCTATTGCTTTTTGTTTTTGCATTAATTAACCCGTACCGATCAAAAAATGATGTCAACGCTATCTTGCCTCACAACGTGTTTGCATAAATTATAAAGGAAAAAAAAAAAGTTAAGCATATGCAAGTTCATCTTCAATAATAACAAAAGCAATTGACAATATATTTTGATTATCATCTTGTGTAATAACCACTAATAAAACTCCATTATATATTATCATATAAATGTGTCTCATGACCTTACACGTAAGTTACAGTGTTTAAATACTCTAATACAAGAACCAAAACTTCAGAATATTTGATATAATATTTGAACATTGGAAACCAATTCATCACAATGGTAGGTCAGTGCAACATCTACAACAGATCCTGGAATAGCGCCATACATTGCTTCATACCATTGTGACAAACCTTCAAATTAAACTTTTCACTAACCAAAAACTTTTTTAATTGTCTTTTGCTTTTTTATTCATGTTTTTTAATATATTATTGTATTATATTGAGACTGAATTTCACCTATTACAAGTTTTATCTTAAAAGAAGGGTCATATTCTATCATTGGCTTGATGCATTATGCATAGTATGAAGAAGTCATACACAATTTATTTCATACCTTATACCTCGTGCATTTAAAATAAAATGTATATGGTTTTAACTAGAACATTTCATAGTCAACTCTTTTTTATATACTATAATGTTCAATTGTTCATATAACAATTTTTTTATCAGAGAATTGCTTTCCAACATATAATTTTTGTTCAGTTCTTATTCTACCTTTTTGTTTGACGTGATACTTACATATGCTTTCTCATCATTGTTTTGATAAATGCCAACTTTAACTTTTTTGAAAATAACATACAACTCAATGACAAAAATTAGAAGATGACACTTTTGATGTATTTGAAATATTTGTTGAACATCATCATCATTCATTATTAAAATTGTATGATATTATATGATACCACCGAATATCAATATTAGATACCAATATATTGAGTAAGTCAATACTTCAATTTTACAAATGATACATTATCTATTTTTATATACAAGTGTTAATTTTTTACACCTAAATAACATGAGTATTGGTAAGAATATTTTCATTAAAATATATCAATATTAACACACTTATTTTTTCTCAACAAATAAACACACTTTACTTCTAAAAATTTTCACTTTCTTTCATTTGCAATTTTCTTCAAACAAAGAATACAATATTTACAAAGTTAATAATCAAAAGTCCTTAATAAAAAAATTTTATTTTAAAAAACATTAATGACAATTTTTTAGTAAATTGACATTTTTTTATTATTTTAAACATTCAAAAGTCGTCAATAGTACTAATTGTGATTTTATTTGTCATAATTTCATATTTAAAATTTTGTTAATGACAACTTTTAAATCTAATTAAATTTCTAATGATAAAACGTATCGACGATGTTTAAATTAAATCATATTTATATTTATATAATTTTACCAAAAAAACTCATTTTTATAATTTTAGAATATAAGTATCATTAAAAAAATGAGTCATGAGAATATATATGTATAATATTTTTTAATATACATCATGAATTTAACTTCATTAAGAATAATAAATATGTTAATTTTTAACAAAAAAATTATTATTCATTAATTTATTAATATATACTTTTAATTACGTGTTAAACCAAATCTCTCATGCCAGGTAATATATGCACTTAGTGGTAATCTATAATAAAATAAACATCCTGTGAATTTCAAATTTCTTTTGAAATGTAATGCCATGACTAAGATTGAAGTTGTAACACATAAACAATCTTAATAATATTAGTTTTTCAAATAATTAATATTTAAATTTATCAAAATATTAGCACTTAATTTCATCATAAAAAAGTCATAATCATTTATTAAATTGTATTCACATTTCTTTAACAACTAAAAGGATAAAAATATGCACACCATTTCTGTATTTAAATGTTTAACACAAATAATGTTAACTTCTTAAATTTGCAAAATGTTCAAAGAACAAATGAAAGTAACTGGGATTTTCAGAATAATGGAGGCTTATCAGAGAAATTATCTACTAGAAAATGTTGTAACTTCCAGTAATCTATAACTTAACAATCTGATAATCTAAAAATAAAGAAATAAAAATTGAGTTAGATAAATTCAATAAGGGTACAACAACCATGATAAAACAAAAAGGAAAAACAAAATAAAGTACCTATAAGTGGTTTATAAATAAAAATTTAATTATGACACGTTAAATCAATTAAAATAATTTATTTAATCAAAAGTTTTAAAGAATACTAATATAAATCAAAAGAAAAATATTTATATGGATATTCAATGATTTTACGTTTTTTCAATTTATTTTAAGAAAAGTACACATAGATAAATAAAAAAACGAAAAAAAACCTTGAAAAATACACCATTATAACCTTAAATATAACTTCAAAAAGAATTTTTATAAAAATAGTAATTTTAAATAATAATTAAATAAAATTTTTATCAATTTTTATCTTTAACCAAATAAAATAAATCGTTTTATCTTTTTTTATTTTTTATTTTACTTTCTTTTCTTTCATTCATAAATCATTGATCAAGGCTGTAGAGAGAGAGGTACTGATCCAATATCCATTGTAGGCCTCACACGGGTTTCACGTGCTTTTTTCTTCATCCACCTATTTTTTCTGCTCTACCTGTAAGTCATCACGACATCATCGAAGCTTAAATAATATTTCTGGTCTTCATAAAATTATTAAAATTTTATTTTATTTTTATAATATTTTTATTTTAATCCTTAATTAATATAACATTTTCAAAATTAATTATTCTCTTCAGTTATTTTTTGCTAATTGCTGAAATTATCATATTATTTAAAAAGTTAAATTTATTTTTAATTTTAATAAAATTATCATAATTCACTTTTTAGTCTCTATAAAGTTATTAAAATTTGCATTTTTTCCCAATAATTCTAACTTCATTATTTTTCTTCAAAGTATAAATACAATTAACATGTTTTATATCTCTACTTAATGCTCTTATTATTAAAATTAATTTTCTTTTATTTTACCGACAATAATTGTGATACTACAATGTGTGTGTTCCACAATTTAGATTTAAGTTGTGTTATTCTTCTTAAATAAGTTGCTAATAAAGAGCGAAAGAGATTAAAATATAATTTTATAAGAATTAAAAGTAAATTTTAATAATTTTGTAAAGATTAAAAATAAGTTTAAAATTTTGAATAGTATAATAACACATTAGCAATTAAAATAGATTAAGTAAAAGTAAGGATTAATTTTTCATTTTACATTAATTATAAAATAAAAACATACTTAAGCCTGTTATATCAAGTATTAATTTAGTAGTGTATAATGAGTGGTCATTATACAAGAGAAAATATTTATTTTAACAAGTTTCTTAATAATTAAAAAATTTACAATAAAAAATTATTAAATTATTTGTTTATTAAAATTTTTAATAATTAATAAGATTAATATACTTATAATGAAACACATAATGGGAAATGAACTGAATTTATTTTAAAAAAAACAATTCAAGAAAGAAAACTTGTTTTGTTTTGTTTTGTTTTTTTTTTTTTTTTGGTAGAATAAGAAAACTTGTTCAAACATTATAAAGATTACATTAGTTATATTCTTAGTTTTTCCCAAGATATTCTAACATGTCTTTCTCACATTTAAGGCTGGATGTTTAGCATGTGATGAAGTTTGTAGTTAACCATTTACATGTGATCAATCTAATATTAAAATTAGATAGATTTTAATACTACATTAAAAATAAATAAACCTATTCAAAATCAATATAAATTATCTTAACACAAACAGTTAACAAATATTTGGAAAAAATCTTTAGATGAACGTACATTAATATATAGAAATATATTGTAAAAATAAATTGTGTACAATTATTGTTCGATCATAACGTACTATATATTTACCACCTTTCCTGTAGGCCCATTTCTTTTGTTAACAGTTTTTTTTCTCTTTATTGTAAGCATGTCTGAAAATTTTAATAATAATTAAATAAGTTTAAATAAAAATAAAATTTAAAAATGGTATGTGTTGTTTAAGTCATTTTAATGATTAAGAATACGATTAAATATACATGCGTTTGTTGAATAAAATTTTTTTAAATGAAAATTTATGCCGTAACTTTAACCATAAAACTAAATAGAATAAATTAAAACAACAAAATAAATAATTATAAAAAAGTTGTTAACATAATTAAAAAAAATTATAAATCTTAAATGATTTTTATTAATTATTCATAAATTCTTTTAAATATACACTTTTATTCAATTTTTTTTTGCAATTTCATTGATTACCATATTTAAGTATCTATAAATAAAAAAAAATTATGAAAAAATATACAATTATTGTATTAAAGTTATAAAAATATAATATACTTTTTTTTAATAAAATTTTACTATTATTAATTGTTTATTTTTATTTCTTATAGCTCACATTAACAAAATCCTTTTATTAAGTATGTAATAGCTAAACAGTACTATCTCAGCATGCCAAAAGCCATCACACTCATCTTATTACAAACTAACGCTCAACCTTTAGAGGAAACTTGAGGGTTCATTCGTGGCTTATTAATTCATATATATTACACTTAAAAACTTGTTATTTTTTTTTATACATTGAATAGTTTCTTGTTTATTTAGACGGGTTTAAATAGTTTCTGTTATAACTTTTTTAAACCTTGACAAATCACTATTGAATTTGAATATTACCACAATTGAAACTGTAATTGTAACCTTTTGCATGCTCATATATATTTCATCATTACCAAATATTCAAGTAAAGTATAGAAAAAACACTGTAACGAATACAACTTAGTCATATTTAGGAATCTTTTACTGTTAAGTAATAATTTATAATAAATTTAGAAAAATATTTTTTTAAAATTTATTATATTTAATTATAGAATTCATTAATTATATTTTATAGTTATATATTTTTTCTAAATATTGTTATACTATATTAGGATTACTAATAAAAGAAGTCCCAAATCACTACAGTAGTACATATTAACTGCGTTTATGTATTCAAGTTAAGAATGTTAACTTTTAACATAATGTTTTTTTATTATATCGTATAAGTGTAATAGTTTTACACAGTGTTGTTGATCGAGAATGTTAAGTTTAAAAAAATAAAAATAAAAATACAATATTTATTAATTTTAAAAATAAATTATTTCTTAAATCCTAAAATAAGAAACAATTTAATTAGATGTATGTAATGTTATTTAAAATACATCCATACATAGAGTGCATTAAAAAAAATCCAAAAATACTATTTGAAGGGTAAACTTTAATTTAACACAATAACCCATTTAGGAAGTACTAATTTAACACAATCTGATTCGCCATAAATACAGTGCACTAGAAAAATAAAAGGTTATTCATTCAAAATGGAAACAGGGAACTCCGTTGACCATTGACCATTAGCGTCGTCATTTTTTGGTTTTGGTTTGGAGAATCAGATTTGGGCGAGAAAGGAAGAGGATGATGCCGCAACAGTGGGCGTCTCCCTGTGGAAATCAATGCACAAATAAATACGCTGCTCTTACAAAAATCCCTTGTAAATCCCTTTTTTCTTTTTTATATTTTAATTTAGTTCTGTTGTTACATTATTTTGCATTTATCTTAATCATTTATTTTTTGGGCTCAATTATGGAACCCTGTGGTTACTCACGAACATTGAGGTAACTCACATACACGGTGCATTATATAGTATATACATAATTATGGTTTACGTAGGAACAAGACGCATTCATGTAATGTAATGAATTTAGGGCATTCCTGTTCATGCTTGCTTTCAGTATAAGTAGACACTTTTATCGGTTTTTCGATTTATTCTGGTCTTAGGTCATTTTGGGTTTGACTCAAAATTCGTTGTTTGTGTTTTGTTTTATTATTATCACTCTCATAATATAACATACTACTGGTGTTGTTGTAGGGCGAGTGTTCTGCAAAAAAGGGTGCAACTCAGATGGGGATACCTGGGAGGAATGTGAGATCATTTTGCTGCTTTTATCATTTTTCCTTATCAATGGCTATGCAGATAAATTTGTTTGTTATGGACTTCAATTCTAGCTTCTTGGGTTTCTGAATCAATAATGGCATAATAGTTAGTGATAGAACTGTTGTTTTTTCCTGTCCAAAATAAATTGTTATTATCTTTGGTCTTCGAAAGTGTTAACTTTCTAATTTCGTAATAAATTGTCAACTTCTATTCAGTTTCACCCCTCAAAGAACTAATTTATATGGATGATATCATTCAAGGACCAAAGCAACAAAAATTGCCACTATTGGGACCAAATCGCATATTAACTCTTAAAAAGCATTGTGAAATTTGTTTTCATTTAACAATCCTAGAGGAGCATAATAATATCTTGGGTGCAAGGTAGTTAAAATCCTGATTTGAATGGTAAAATCTGAAGATTTTATGATTTTGGATGCCTTATCAATTTAAATCGTTGGTAAAATCATGGCTGCATAAAATCGTTGTAAAATGCCGAATTAAATCGTAAAATCCCTCAATGGGATTTTACAATTTCACCTTGACTCTGAAAATTTCTCAAAAAGTCTGATTTGTTGAATCCTAATGCAGTTGATGCTTCTTTCATATCTCTTTTTATTGAACCCAATTTGCCTCTAGCAATGTTGAACCCTAACGCTGTTGTCAATTCAACAGTCCTCCTAGTGTGTGCAGCCTGGACTACAGCTAAACCCAGCAGTGTGTGACTGCTGCATTTGAGTCCGGTGCTGCTGTTTTTGCATCTTTTCTGTCTGGTCTATTTTTTACTCATGCCGATGCATGATGTTCTTATAGAATATGGATTATGATTTGTGAGTGCTACTTTATTTAAGTGCTTTTACTAATTTAAAAGTTTTTCTCCCCTAATTTATGCTATTTTATATGCATAATATGAATTTGTAAGCATATATATGAATTTTGTAAAATCTTATGATTCAATTTACGATTCTACGATTTACGATTTTCACTCCCCTTTACTATTTAAAGTAAAATCCGGATTTTAACTACCTTGCTTGGGTGGAAGGTTATTATTTGAGAAGAGATATATTACCTTATCTTAGTCATTCACTGTAACTAATACTAATTAATAGGACAAATATCAGAGCATGTTGCTGATGTATCTATGTCAGATAATTGTCTGCACTAGTACAGCAACCTTCTAGCCATATGTGTGCTTCCTAGGTGTGTTGGGAGAGCAGCTGAACTGCTGACTAGTGATGGTATAGTTCAATTTGAAGTATCCAGTATGCCAACTTGAGTTGGTTGACTTAAGTTTGTTAATTTCATTTGCTATTATTTTTTTTCACAACAATCTACACATGTTTTACCTCATTTATGCTTTGAAATTTATGTGTTTTTATCTTTTATGCAATTTTATCACATTTTATTATATAAAATTCTTATCCCTTATAAAGAGAAGCCCTAGCACAACGGTTAGAGTTGCTGCTGTGTGACTAGAGGTCACAAGTTTGATTCATGAAATCAGCCTCTTACAATACAAATTAAGGCTTCCTACATGGACCATAATAGATCCGTCACTTCCCTGCACCATGTCATGGTGGGAGGGTTTTAGAGTTTTTAGTATATACATACCTGTAGGTAGAGCTATGAAAATTGTTGCAGCTGTATCAATATTACAGAGGGCTCCACACATCGAACTAAGACACAGATTGAACACAATTGCAATACAGGAATAGGAGCTTAGTTTATATTCCTTTTTTGTTGTCATAGGTCTTAGCACCTTTTGGATAACCTGACTATGCACGAAACCTTCATATGAGAGCTGAAATGATGATTATAAAAGTAGCTATTTCAAGTTGACAGAATTCCATTCTGATGTATGAATGATAGATTATTGCTCAACCAGGTTTGGAAGAATGCAATCAAATATGTTACAAGGACCCTGTACTAAAGGACCAGCAATGGAGTGCTTATATTGATCGTTCCCCAGGTGCTGCCAGTTATTCAGAGGTATTTCTATTCTCCTATGCCTCTTTTACTTCCCAAGCTGTCAATTTAGTATTTTGCAACATGCAACATAATTTATTGCTGCTTTGGTTTCTTCTAATAGAGTTTTCCTTTAATGATTTCTCCTTGCACAAAAATTTTAAGGGTAAATTTCAATTTACTATCTTAAAGTTTTGTCAAAATTAAAATTTGTGTATCAACTTTAAAAAATTGCAAATTTACATCTATCAAGTTTCCAAAGCATGGATTACATTCCCTTGATTAGTATTTTTTTCACCTAAATTGCATTGAACTCACCAAAAATCCAAGATGCATTGAGATTTGTCTTCTTAAAATACTAGTAGCATTAGGAGAGACTGTTTTGTGTAAACTGTTGACAAAATAATGATCCAAGACAACGTCAATTTTAGTTGTATTTAGTGGAAAACAGAACACTGAAATATGCTATGCACTTGATTGGTGAGTTTTTGGCGAAGAAAATTAAACAAGGCAAATGGCCTCTTCATATTAGTTGCTTAGTTTCAAGATTTAATGCATACTAAATTTAGTTTGCTTTCTATTAGAATGTATAATGAGTGAATTAGGACAGCTATTAGTCATCAGTTAGTTGGACTAGTTAGTTAGTGTTAGGATCCAATTGTAAGGTATGAAACTTGAGTTCCACAGTGGAAGTATGGAATTATAAGGCCTTGGGCTCTCCCTACAATAGCCAACTTATTATGATGTGGTTCTTCCAAGGTTCTTATCAATTGGTATTAGAGCCTTCTACTACGTCTCCTAGTTGCAAACGAGTGGTGCAGGTGGTTACACTGGCATTGCACTGTTTGCCCAAGAGTAGTCAAAGGGGTTAGTGCACAGCCAACCTGTGTGCATGCTAGGGCTGCATAGCATGGTGGAATGGTAGGATTCCATTGCAAGGTATGAGACTTGATGTCTCACATTGGAAGCATGAGATTCTAATGTGGGGTCTACAGGGCCTTGGGCTCTCCAACTACAATAGCTAGCTTTTGTGATGTGGTTCTCCCAATGTTCTTATAAGTTAGTTAGTTTGAAGAAATTAGCTATATCTCAATCAAATTGGAGGAGGACATTGGGTGAAGTTGATAAGTTGTGCAAGTGAAAGGAGAGATCTTTTTTAAAGGGGAAACCCTCGGGGAAATTTTATTCTCTATTTCTGTTCTGTTCTTCAATAGAGTTCTGTTTCTCTCATTATTGTTTTTCAGTTTCCTTTTTTTTTTTGTGGTGATTTCATGTGTGTTATACCCCCATGTATTACAGTTTTCCCTTGTTTTCTTACCAAATCCTTCTGACTTACTGCTAAGTATAAATCCTTGAGTGCAAAAGATAAACATATAGCATTCTGTAATGTCTTGTACCAATGCTACATTCTTTGATTCTTGGTGTTCATTGTACATTTTTTATGATTGAAACTTGACCACTATTTTAATTGAAAGTTTACTTTGGGTTTGAATGGAGCTACGCAGACATGTTATTGTCATTTTGGTCTGTGCTTGCCAGATAATGTGCCACAATTGATTATACTGCTTGATTTATTTTAATATATTCAATTAACTAGTTGTTTGGCCAGCATCAGAATCATTGAACTAGTCTGCTGTCTGGATTGAGATTTTCATCTCTTAAAGCTAGACAGATTTGGGAGGCGTCAACATTTTTTTAAGAAAAATCTGCATTGTTTGTCCAGAGTTTTCCCCCCAAAACTCAGTCCCTCTGATACTGTGCCTGTTCTAACAATATTCTAATGATATCTTTTGACATCGGTTAGGGAATGAGAATTTACAATGTAACAGGACGGCATTTTGGCTTATGGATGAGTGAGAAAATGTAATTTAGGCAGACAATGCAAGTGTTGTGGTGTAAGGAAGTCAATGAAGGTTTATTTTCAAATTAATTTGGTCATAGGACGGAGGGCAAAGGAGATACGATTCATTAATGATTGTTTCATGTCAGTTTTTTGATTGGTAATAAATTAGTATTTTCAGTCAAAACTTTTTTTTTATGAAAGTTGAAAATATTCGAGCTTTGTTTTTTTTGCATATCTCTTCTTTGAAATCCTAATATCCATATGTAGGGAAGTGGAATTCACATCACACAAGGGAAATTCAGCACTATTAGTAAATGGATATGCTTGATGGCAATCATTTGCAACATACTCTTAGCTTTTAGTGGCTTAAGATTGATTGTGGAATAGTCTTATTTTCAAATTAATGATTGTTAATCCCTTCTGGTGCAGGAATGTTTCCATGCTTGTGTATCTGGTTGCGGTTATAAGGTCAGTTTGATTTCAGAAACCTAAATTTTGGTTTAATTGTTATACATACTCCTACCTCCACCCTCTTTTGAAAAAAAAAAAAATGAAGATAAAGAAAAGGATTCTTTTGGCTTGATAATCTTTTCAGTGATCGCACAAGACTTATCCCTTCATGGGAGCTTTTTAGAATTCCTGTGCCTACTTTCATCCTCTTGTATGGTGATTTTCAAAAGCCTTTTATAGTAACTTTCATCCATATCCTGTTTTGTGCTCTAGCCTGAGAGCACATGGTCCTTTGCATGGCTAACAGGAATTTCCATTACCCAAATCAGCTTGATGGCCTTCAATCGGTTATGTGCTTTCAATCTGAAAAATTGAGTCTAGAAATAAACCCTACAATTTTTTTCCGATCACATCTGAAGGTTATCCACTTGCAATTACATTACATGAACTTACAACTCTTCTGTGAAGCAATGGTTTCAGCATGGGTTTAAGTCTTGGGGAAATTATTAGTTAAAAAATTGTTTTGTTCCTTTATTCACTGTATATTGCACATATAAATCCATAGAAAACTGAATGCATTATCTTTGCTAAATCAAATAATATTTTCCCATATATCAAGTTGCTACTGTTGAATGGCCGATTTATTTTAATTAATCATATAGCAAGTATACGACTTTACTTTAGATTGAAGATCAATAATTTACCAAGTCTACATCATTTTGAAGACCATATTCAAACTCTTGCATCTAATGACTAGCTGTATATCTTGTGTGTTGCAGTTTGATGTTAAACAAGATATAGCTGATAAAGTTTGCCCTAACAGACCATCAAAGCCTGCCCCTGTTCAGAAGCCAAGGCCTCAACCTGTAGAACCGATTGACATGCCAGAGGATATGCCTGGCACTTCTGCATAATGAAAACTGATAAACAACCTAATCTTACAAAAAAAAAAAAAAATACTGTACTTAACCATTCTTTTTTAGGCTACATTTTTGTAGGAATTTAATTTTGCGTACATCCTGCTTTGTATCAGCATGATGTATGGTCAAGAGTATGGCTACTAGCCTTTTTGCCTCGAGATTGTAGAACCTTAATGTTTTTGATAGCAGGGAATCTGGAAAATTGGTAGTTTGATACCTCAGGTTAACTGAGGTTTTCATGAGTTATTTAATAGAAAACTATTCATCTAGAGTTTTCAATTTCCTATCTGATGATGAAGTACAGGTAGTTTGAGATTGGTATATTTCCCATATGACAAAATAGATTTTGTGCTTGGCAACATAGAATTCTTTATAGTATAGATTTATCCCTTGGCATTGCATTACAGGTCAATCTCCTAGTGATGTTTCTTTCATTGCTTAAGTTACATGTTTTATGACACAATCGTTCTTCATAGTCGAGGCATAATGAATGCATTCTTGACCAACGCAATTTGAACTATCAAATGCACTTCTCATCACCATCCTTACTACGAAAAATCTTTATTATTTTTATTTATTAATCTAGCGTTGGTAATTGAACTTGAACTTTTCATTAATTTTCTGGAAACATGTTACTTTCACCATCCTACAGGCTTTTTGTTAATCTGGCTTGAACTCTGTTCATATAGTTTTGTTATTTGAATAATTGTAAATATTTATATATAACACGATGTATAATTGTTTTTCTCATTTGAATTTTTTTATATATATACACACATCTCAAAAATATCATTAAAATAATTATGAAAAACCTAACATTAAATTGTTGCTGCCCAGGATCGAACTGGGGACCTTTAGTGTGTAAGACTAACGTGATAACCACTACACCACAGCAACTTCCTACAATAGTCGGGACTATTATATTAAATTTACTGATTGGAAAAATTCGGTGAAACATTTATTTCATCAATCATCGCTTTGGGCAGAAAATTATGGAGCAAGAATCACTTTGGGTGGGTGTTTATGATGGTAGCAATGGCAACTGCAACAACACTAAGGTCTCTGGTTGCTTTGAGTTTGGTAGAGTAATGAACATGTCAAAATTTTGCTGATTTGCATCTACTGCTCAATAGAATTTCTCTTTTTCATATCACGAGTTAATAATTTGGTCTTGGATATTATCTTCAGTGGCCAATAATAACTTACCATAGGAGCAAACAGGAAAATTTAATCGCATGAAGGACTTCAATAAAACTTGGCTCACTGATCTCAAATTCAGGAAAGAATCACTTAGCTAAGTGCAATGACGTCCCCTAATGTGATTGGTTCAGATGTACCACCGCTCAAGTATATACTAAAACAATTTTTTTAATCTAAACCCTAAATTTTTATCAGTTAATACTATGCATGCATTGAATTGTATTGAGCTTACTATTTATTCACCTTGAACAATTTTTATTAAAAATTCTAGCATTTACCCAAACAATGTTAGAAAAATCATACTAAAATGATGATTATGATCCGTTTAGAAAAACTTACTATTTATTCACCTTGAACATTTTCTAGCATGTTTGTGTGTTTTAAAGAGAGAAAGTGAGAAAGAATGTGTGCATATGAATTGAAGGGGAAGACCCAATACCAATGAATAAAGAACTTCAATTACAGTACATTGTTTGTGTTACATATAAAACTGTCACAAGAGACATCACAAGGGAGAAAAAATGAGTGAATAAGAAGTGAATAGTGTTTGGAAGCACCTATTCAGTTTTACTGGGCTTTCTTTTCATTCGGCTAAAGGGTCCAACTGATCGATCCATAATGTACATGTAAATGACCTGGCTCCAAGATTTATAGGAATCTAAACCATCATAAAACTCTGGAGCAATCTCCTTCACAATGTGAAGCTTGTTTCCAGGAATTCTTGGAAAATCATGGTGTTCATTATGGTAACCCACATGCCAAGTGAGAAAATTCAGGGGTCCATAGTAAGAATATGTCTCTTGCGCAGGATTGAACACATAATGCTCTGAAATGAAGTGACCAGCCATTGGATGCATCCCACCACCAACAAATGTTGAAAGTATCAGATAGGCCAAGGTTTTCCAACCCCAAAAATAAACCATGGACACATCAAGTCCTATCTGAATCAAAAAGTTGATGAATTCCCAACAACCAGGAGGCTTTGGTTTGAGAAAGAGAGGTCTAAGGGCATAAAAGAAGAGCTGCAAGAAAACCCATATGGTTTTTGCAAGAACATTCGTCACAACACGAGCTTCGGTGAGGCTAGGGAGATCCATATCCATGCCATCTACACCTTGAAAGCGATGGTGCTCCAGGTGATACTTTTGAAAAGTCACAGACATTGGAACACCAATGGGAAGGTTAGCAAAAATTCCTAGCCATCGGTTGTAAACTGGAGTTGAGAAGGCCAGGTTGTGACTCAACTCATGGATAGCCAAGAAGAGATTGTGGTTCAGAAATGAACCAAAAAAATATGCTACTACCAATATCTTCAGCCAACCTGAATCATGGAGTAAAGCAGCAGTTCCCAGCTGAAGCAAAACCACTCCACTTATCTGCAACAAAACAAATTTCAAAGACTATCATCACACAAAACACCCAAGGAATAACAACAGATTTCAAATCCCGTATCCTAATCCAACATCATGTACATGCATTTCATTGAAGAAATACCACTTAATATTAAAACTATAAACTACACATAACCCTTCTCTCTCACCACCCCCCACCCCCCTCACAAAAAAAAAATAAAAATTGCAAGATTTGTGCAACTTGAATCTTCTCAAGAGATCTAAGTAGTATAAAATAAACCACTACATCATTGTAGATTTATCCTCACATGTGGCTCAGTTTCAAATACACACATTATGAAGAACACAAAAGGGGTGGCTACATGAAAAGCAAAATATGAAATTGACACGGCAAAACCCAGAAACACGGGTACCCAGAAAAGAGAATGAGTGAAAGATTGAACCTTGAAGAAAGCGGAGTGGTCGGGGCCAAAGAGTTGTTTGATTTGAGGGTATTTGGAGAGGATCTGACGACGTCGTGTTGCATGGGGTTCATCTGTGTAAGACCAGAAGAAATCTCTGGCCATCATCACCCCTTCTTGATTTTCTCCTCTGCCCATTTTTTAGATTTCCCTCACAACTCTTTTTTTTTTTTTTTAATTTGATTCCCTCACAACTCTTCGCCACATTCATCAAAAAATTTATTTTATTTATACAAAGAATGTGAATCGAAAATGACTAAGAATATAACTAATTACATCCTCACTCTCACTGGTCATACTTTGTTATTTGTTAACCCCGACATAACAGCCTGGTACTTCAGTGGACTACCCTTGGATGTAGCTAACTAAACTAAACCACGCAATATATTTATATTAATTAACATTTGTTAAATTATGTAATCAATAATCTTCTTTCTTGGGTTACATCCAATCTCTACTGTGTATTTTAGTTATCTTTTACCAATTTGGCGATTAAATTAGTTAACCTTGAAAACTTTTTCTTTTTTTAGATTTTACATAATTTTTATTTTAGTTAACTCAATTATTAACTCATTTTAGCTGAAGCCTATTTTTGAATCCTCAGAAATTGATTCTCATAGTAGCGCTGTATGTTGAAGTTATATCAAATATAAAGATTAAAATGCTAGAACTTTTTTTATGAAATAAAATAAAATATAAATATAAAAATAATCTAACCTTGTTATCATTTTTACGAACAATAAAAATAAAATATTCAATATAAAGGTTGAAATCTGTATATAGTGTGTAAAACTGACTACACATTAATGTTTAATATTTTTTTATTAAATATAGTGTATAATTAATTTAATAAACAATATTATTAAAATATTAACAAAATTTAAATGCACGTTATTATAATAACTATAAAATATAAATATATAATAATTTATTTTTTTAATCTCTAAGTCTATTATTATTTTAAATAAAGTATTATGAGTTATTTTAAATTTAATTTTTTTATAATTTTTAAAAAAAATTATTGTTAATAAAAATTTTAAATAACAAAAAAAAATGCATATTAATATAATCTTAAAACTATTTAATTTTTGTGTGTTAACAATTTAATGTAAACATTATTTGTTCATTTCACTTTTATTTTATGCGTAAAATTTTATTAAAAAGTCATTTAATTTATAAAAAAGTATTTAATAAACCACCTTAATATGGCGAAATAAAAAGTATGGGCATGCATTTACTTTCTTGTACATCATTGTTTAAACAATTATCAAATTTTGATGACATAAATTTGTTATTTTGTGTCCAAAATATGGTAGGAAGGCGACAACATCACCAAATTTACTAAATATGGCATCAATGGCATGTTGGAATCCAACTCAAAGGATTGCAGGTTTGCATGTCAAGTAATTAAATGCAGTTCCATCAATTCAACTAGTTTTTAGGCTTCTCGAGATTTTCTTGGAAGGGATGACCAGCGTAATGGTTACATATTAAATAGAGATTTAATGGAACAGGTTATGAGCTTAATTATTTACTTGTATTATTGTTGATGGATTTTTTTTTACCAAGAAGTAAATGCTAACGACGTTATAGCAAAATTACAAAGAAATAATATAAGAAAAACAAAATGAAATTAAAAAGTTAATTTTTAGAAACAGAAATAATTTTGAAAGAGAATTATACATATTTTCTCCTCTTGTTAGACCAATCATAACCACTTATTTTAACGTTAGTTATTTTAGATCTCAAAGCGTTTTTTCCTTTCTTGATGTAAAGGATCAGCAATCATGTGTCTATTTCTAATTATCTTAATTTTTGCCTTATTTACCTTTATTCTTACTAAATTACTCACAACTCTTATGTCATTAAGAACAACCTTGTCCTCAAGGTTGGTTGAAGTAAGGGTAAGTCATTTGCGATGCATTGTGGTTTTCCTAAGTTAATTGAAACTCATTCATGACTTCTTACTGAATCAAATGTTCTTTAACATAATCAAAACCCTTAATAACCATTCTAGATTTCAAAATAACAATTGGGTGTATAACAAGATATGATTCATTAGTGATAATTGGTAATGGAACATATGATTAAACTTATCACTTCTACAAAGTTTTAACTGGCAGTCATAACTTATATGCAACTTGACCAACTATCTCTATAATTGGAAATGGACCAAAATATCTTAAACTTAGTTTCTAATTCTTCTTAAAGCAATGAAATGTTGTTAATAAGGTTGGAGCTTTACCAGTACCATGTCTCTAACCTTCCATTCTTCAAACCTTCTTTTTCATATATTGCTAAACCTTTTGCATATTCATCTTTAACTTACCAATGACATAATCTCTCTGCAATAGCTAATCTTGATCTAAAATTGGATCATTGCTACCAGGGACATAATTCACTAGTGTGAGAGGATTTCGAACATAAACAACTTTGAATGGTGTCATGCCAAGACTAATATGATAGGTAGTATTTATACTAATATTTAAAGATAAGAGTTTAACTCATTCCTTAAGAGTGTCATAAGTAAAGCATCTTAAATACATTTTAAGACATTTGTTCAAGACTTCAAACTGTCGATTAGACTGAAGATGGTATGTCATAGACATGTTTAGAGAGTTATCACTCAATCTAAAAAGATGTTATCAAAACTGACTTGTGAAGACTTTGTCTTTGTCAAAAACATAGTCTTAGGAAAACCATGTAATTTCACCTTAGACTTCATGAAGGTCTCAGCCACAACCTTGCTTGAATAATCTGCCTTTAAAGGAGAAAAATGAGCATACTTAGATAACATGTCAATTACCACAAGTATGATTGTATAATCATGTTATGAAGAAAGTCTTGTTATAAAGTCCATTGCTAGATCCTCCTAAAGGAAGAGTTGTTTTTGTCTTGGCTTTCTGACAAATAAGACAATTTTGCACATATTATTTAATATCTTTATTCATACCATTCCAGAAAAATTTTGAGTAAAGATTCTAGCCAAAGTTCTAGCAAACCTAGTATGACCTCTCACAAGAGAACTATGAAATTCATTCAAGATTTTTGGAACTATCTCATAACTAGCAAGAATAATAAGTTTACCTTTCCAAAAGAGAAGTTGATTATGAACTTTATTTATGATTTCCATAAGAGAAGTTGATTATGAACTTTAGTTGTGATTAGAGGACTGATTTGTGATGCATAAGTCAACAATGACTTTCAACATACGATCAACTACTGTAGCTTATTTGAGATTAAAAAGAATAGACAACTGAGGTTGAGACTAGGTCATATGATAAATTCATATTTTGATATATTTTATGACTTATATTTATACACTTGTAGCTTATTTTATGGGTGTTTTACATTAATTTTATTGTTAATTGTTGCAATTAAGTATTAAAGAATTGCCAATACATTATGAAAATATTCTGAACAAAAATTGGATAGTCAACTAAAATTAAAGCCTCATTCGTAAGAATAAACGACTGTGCTTTGCACACAAACATGGGTGTGCTTTGTTTCTTCAAACACGACTGTGTTTGAGGATATACACGGCCATGCTACTTGAATCTGAGTTCAAAATCTGAAATTTAATTTTTAAATTTTGAAAGTTTTAACTCAAATAAAGTTCTGAAAAGTTAAAGGAGGTTTCAGCTAGGATTTTGAAGGTTGGCAAAACTGATTTCCTTTCTTAAAGATAAAGCTTATTTGTTGAAGGTCATTTCATATTCTATTGTTCGTAAGCAAGTGTACCTATCAAAAAGTAATAAAAGATTTTCGAATTAAGAGTTCCAAAGTTATCGTCCCATAGAGATTATTTGCAAGTACCAATAATAACTTAATTTGATTGTTTAAACGTAACGAGATGGTAACGGATAAAAAACAAAGCTTAATTTTAACAATAAATTAAAAGAACAGTAATAGAATGTGTGAGAGAGATCAGATGAGATGATCTTAGGACTTATGAGTTCACCTACTACACTTCTTTATGTTCTAATTAATTTAATCCTGATATTGGTATTCAAATATTTTCCAACCACTCATAATTAGTTCTATTAACACCAGTGATTATGCAATGTCAATATTCTTTTTCCTGAGCAAATATGTTCAATGATCATGTAAGGTAATTGGTTGAGAAAGCATGAAGATCCTATGAGTTTGTTAATTTAATAACGGCTGAAAGAAAGGAATTAACTTGGCCTGTATGGAATTCCATATGCTAGAATGTAAATGGGTGAGAGTTGTGAATCACAATTTTGTTTGGTTGTTTGTTGAATAAGACTAGTAGTGAGGGTTTTGATTGGATATTAAGTGTTTAATATGTGTGTTTTGATGTGTGAGTATATCATAGCCCTTTTTGTTGTAAAGCTCTCATTATTTTGCCTTATTTTAGGGAAAAATAGAGTTTTGATTGTAGAGTTTCTCACTCAAGCGAGGTGTACCTCGCTTAAGCAAGAATAGTTTTTCCAGATGTGAGCATTTTGGAGTGATCTCACACTACTAGAAAAGCGCTGATTACAGACGGATTTGCGTTTTTTTTTTAATTTCCTGACAAATCCGTCTGTAATACAGACGGATAAAAATCTGTCTGTAATATCCGTCTGTAGTTTACCCGCTATTTGGCGCGAAACAATATAGACAAGAATTACAAACGAATTTTTCCGTCTGTAATTTGAAAAAGGGAGGGAAATTTAGAGCGGGAGTTACAGACGGAAAAATCCTTCTGTAAATATTATCCTTTTTAACTGCTTTTTCATGTTGCAATTTACAGATGGATTTTTCCGTTTGTAAATCGACTTGACGGATTTACAGACGGAAATATCCGTCTGTAACGGGATCTTTAAAACGCACCATTTCATTAAACTATTTACAGACGGATTTTTCCGTCTATAATATCTGAAACCCATAAATTCGCGCCACCCCCTTCCCATTCCTCATTTTTCATAAATCTCTCTCTCTCTCGCCTCTCTCTGTCTCTCTCTCTCAAAGAGCTTCAGTTTTTTTGCCTTTGCGAGTGATTGGAGCATCCATTTGAAAGATAATTTGCATCATTGTGTTCCTGGTACGATACTCTAACTTTTAATCGGTTTAGTTTTTTTATTTTTGATGTATTTTAGAGACTTAAAATTTCTAAGATAGAGTTGTAGGATTGGAGATTGTATGACTGGCATGGGGGAAGGGTGTAGAGGTTCTTCTCTGAACCTGATTATTGTGTGCTGTTGGATTGTTTGTGTTTGCGGAGTTTGTGGAATATACATGTTGTGAAGTTATAAGGGGATGTGCTCTAGAATGGTTTAGGATTGTAATGTGTATGTT